GTGTGTGTGTGTGTGTGTGTGTGTGTGTGTGTGTGTGTGTGTGTGTGCAGCAGAGATAAGGACCCCACGGTTCGTCACTCCCGTAGTATTTTATGACTCCAAACCCTCTCTGCTCTGTGTGTGTGTGTGTGTTGTGTGTGTGTGACACCTCTTGATTTTTTTTATGAGGATTCCTTAAAGAACACGTCATGGTTACTAAACCTACCACACAAAACAATATAAAAGATAGGATTTTTCGAGCTTGTGCCCAAGTTACACCACAGATGCTGCAAAAGGTTCGAGAATGTTTTTGTGCCAGAATCACTAAATGTATTGAAGAAGGTCGTTACTTTGAACATCTATTTAATAAAAAAAATGTATTCTTATTTTAATTTATTAAACAAATACTATTAATTTTGTTTTATTTTGCTGACAAAATAAGATAAATAAGTTCTTCTTGTAAAAAAACTTGGCGCTGTTTTTTTATTCCCGTCGCATTCGTCCCTAAATTATTTTTTATTGTTTTTATTCAAAAATTTGAGTACTTTATTAAATTTCTAGCAGAGGTCTAGCAGCGCCAAGTTTTTTTACAAGAAAAATTTATTTATTTTATTTTAATTAAATATTTGTATTTTGTACTGTTACCTCTTAAATTCTTTGTAATTAAAATTATTCTTTGTAATATTATAATTTTGTTAAGGAGAATTAAAGCTACTGATTGGATTGGACCTATGTGAACCTGGTACCCACTTTCGAAAAATTAATTTTTTTACGAAAAAACGTTAGCATTTTGTTTGTAGTTGTTTGTAATAACAAAAATTTCGTTTGTAGTTTAATACATTAAAAATTTAAAAATTACTTGCACCCCACTTTGAGATATCTCAAATCCACTTGCGCCATCTTCTTCAGAATCGTTTCTAGTTGTTTGTAGTGCTATTCTTTTCGTTTGTAGTTGCACCGTTCAAAAGTTATTATATATTTGCAATAAACAAAAAGTGTAACTTTGCCAATTTTGGAGATATCTCAAATTTGCTTGCGCCATCTTCTTCAGAATCGTTTGTAGTTGTTTGTAGTGCTTTTCTTTTCGTTTGTGGTTGCACCGTTCTAAAGTTATTATATTTTTGCAATAAACAAAAAGAGTAACTATGCCAATTTTGGAGATATCTCAAATCCGCTTGCGCCATCTTTTTCAGAATCATTTGTAGTTGTTTGTAGTGCTTTTCTTTTTGTTTGTAGTTGCACTATTCAAAAGTTATTATATTTTTGCAATAAACAAAAAGTGTAACTGCCAATTTTGGAAATATCTCAAATCCGCTTGCGCCATCTTCTTCAGAATCGTTTGTAGTAGTTTGTAGTGCTTTTTTTGTTTGTATTTGCACCGTTCTAAAGTTATGATATTTTTGCAGTAAGCAAGAAGTGTAACTTTGCCAATTTTGGAGATATTTTAAACGAAACGAAACGAAAACCATTACAAACAACTACAAACGATTCTACATCGAGTCGCGGAATCAGTTTTAAAATATTTCCAAAATTGGCAAAGTTACACTTCTTGTATATTACAAAAATATAATAACTTTTGAACGGTGCAACTACAAACGAAAAGAAAAGCACTACAAACAACTACAAATGATTCTGAAGAAGATGGCGCAAGCGGATTTGAAATATCTCGACAAATGACAAAGTTAGCTAGGTTTTATTTATTTTTTTAAATTGTAACTTTTTTAAACGATTCAACTACAAACGAAACGAAAAGCACTACAAACAACTACAAACGATTCTAAAGAAGATGGCGCAAACGGATTTGAGATATCTCAAAGTGAGGTGCAAGTAATTTTTTTAATTTTTATAATTTTTTATATATTAAGGAGGTTCTACAGATAATGGATGTATCTAAAAATTGGAAAAAACTTTATGGACGTATAAATTAAGATGCGAAAAAAGTGCTCGAAAAATTTTAGCATCGGTTACCGTGTAAAAATTTGCAAAAATGAATTTTGAAATCACAGTTTTTAACATAAGCTACATATGGCAGAGGGGCTCTTGGAGACAGGAAACGAGATATTAATTATATAAAGGCAACCTACCAGAGATTCAAAAAACGGAGCTCTTATAGATCTTAATCTAAGCTTTTCAGAAATATCGAGAAAAACAAGGGTTATCGCGTAAAATTTTGTGATATTGGCTATTGAAACAGGCCATATCACAGTTCACGTAGCGTGCTTCGAATAACAAGGGAGATTTGGCAATGTCGCAGCGACTGCACCCGCGTGAAAAGTGTACAGCCAGTACAGCACCACAGTATGACAGCACCTCAAACTTAAGCACCTAACGTTTACGAGCGCTTACGGAGAAGTACTCGCTCTAGAATTATGTGAAATTGTGAAATAACCACGGTCATATGAGCAGAACTGTCAAGTTCGCGACGTTACCACATTTTCTTCCATTATAAGCCGCCAGAGTCAAAGGAGCACTTACACGATATTTTTAATTATTCCTCGCTTCGACTAATATGGATATGATATAAGCTCTAACGTCATCAAAATTCACGAAAATATTTTATGAATACTTAGAATCGATGAATTTGAAGATTTTCTCTTCATCTCTCAACTGACTAGAGAGTACCTGTAGAACCTCCTTAAACTACAAACGAAATTTTTGTTACTACAAACAACTACAAACAAAATGCTAACGTTTTCCATAAAAAAATTAATTTTTCGAAAGTCGAGTGCCAGGTTCACAAGGTCACTGAGAATTATAGTATTTTTGGGAAGAAAACATCCAACTTTATACTTTACACCACATTTAACAACGATAACCCTAAAGAAGATTATGCGATAATAAATTATTGATAGTAACAGTGAATAAATCATGCATAAATAAATTCTCGCGAAAAAGAAAAAATCAATATCATAAAAAAAAAGAAAGAAAAACAAGATAAGAAAAAATGACATATAGTGCTAGAGAAAGTTCTTGTATTAATTGTTTTTAAATCTTTGGTTTACTCATTAAACGCATTATTCAGCTACAATTGTGCAGTATTGGATATTTCTATCTATCAGTCACTAAAAATACGTAACTTTACAAGATAACCCGGTGAGTGGAGGAGGACCGAGACGGCGCAGGGGATCAGATGCTGAGCAGGGTGGCACGTCGGGACGTCGAGACGGTGGTTAAAGACAAAAAGGGTATCACTGGAGAAAGCTGGTCTGGTGGTTTGTTTAGGTAAAATAAGAGGGGGTTTTCTTTAAAGAGAGGGAGTAAGGAGGAGGTTGAGATGGTTGGTTGTAAGGAGAGGTTGACAAAGTTTTGTGTGCAGAAGGGGAGCAGGACAAGGAGATGGCAGAATGCGGAGAGGAGCTGGACAGGAAGCGAAGGAGGCAACATGAGAGACGGATGAAAAGAAGAGAGCCCAGCTAAGATGCAGTGAGCCTGTCGGGGGGGAGAAGTGGCGGACGGAAGTAAGGCGGAAAGGAGGGAAATGAGAGGGTGGGGAGTTTGATGCGTGGAAGGGAGGGAGGTAATGTAGTGTGTATAGGGCCACAATGGTCAGGTCGGGTTAGGAAGGTGTATGTTTTGTAAAGGGTTGGGTACGTCCCTGAAAAACACCAGTAAGAGAATGTGAAAGTTTGTGTAAATCTGTTGCGAGAGAGAAGGTCTGTCACGCGAGGAAGGAGAGGATGACGCCAGAGAGACGGGGCAAGGAGAGGGAGGAATGGGGGATGAGATCAGGGTAGAGGGCGTGGAAGGGAGGGAAGAAAAAGAGTTTAAAGGGCCGTAATGGTCAGATCGGGCTAGGAAGGGGTAGGTTTTGTAAAGGGTTGGGTACATTCCTGAAAAACGCCAATTATATTGTGTAAAATTTTATATATGTGGATAAGCGAGGAGTTGGTGTAAAGGTTTGGGACCGTTCCTTAAAAACGCCTTGCAAACCCTGCGGGAACAAGCAATAAGGAGATACATACATACATACATACAAGATAACCCAAAATTTGCATGCATGAAATGCACAATGCAATTTTCTATGCTAGAAAAAAATAGGTTTTTTTTCTGGCAAAATTGCATCTGCGCAATAATTTTTTTAGGATTTTAAATAAAAATAATTTGAGTTTATCGAATGAGAGATTTAAGTTACTCATGAATCAGGGGCGACATGCGCTAATTTTAATGACAAACAAATATTAATAATTTAATAACTAATAATTATTAGCAGTTATTCTATGCATAATTAAAATTAACATTATTTAACTTACTCGTTGTCTAAAATTGAATCTGGTGGTACAGATATCAATAAATTTTCTACTTGTGGGAATGAATAAGTGCATCCCTCTGTGGTAACGGGTTTCATATCAAATCTGTAAAAATATTGATGTTATTTGTAATCGTACTTTAAAAGGAACAAAAAATCATGCAAGATTGATTATTGCTTATTAATGTTAATAATTTTATAACACTAACTTAATCTTTCCACTGGTAATAGCTGCTTCGGCAGAAAGACCAAGCCAACCCATGAAACTCAAACCTGCAATTCCTCCGACTAGAGCACCCTGTTGAATTTAATTAATATATTATTTATTTTCATCAACAATATAATTTCTATTAAAATAAAATAAGTTTATTTTTAACACGTGCCTTGGCATTAATCCATGGTAATAACAATCCCATGTTGAAAATGCCAAAGGATGGTCCATGAGTGATAGCGCCTAGACTTATGGACAACTATAACATTCATTCAAATATGAAAAAAAGTATTGTAAAGTTTGTATTATCGAGGAACGTCTTCATGTTTACCTGTAACATATGAGTGCCTGCTTGCTCAACGACGAAAACGAGAGCAACACAGATTGTTCCTAAAATGACAACCGTCAGCTTCATAAAGACGTCGGCACCTTTACGCGTAAAAGGAGTCTTCATAAAGGGCTTAACAAAATCCTCAAGCACCACGGCTGCCATGGAGTTTAGACCGGTTGATAATGAACTGGAAGAGAGTGATCTCAAACTAACTTTCTCTCTCTCTCCCTCTCTCCCTCTCTCCCTCTCTCTTTCCCACCCTCCTCCCTCCATCTCCTTCCTCTTTTTTCTCTTCTTTACTCCCTCTTTCTTACTTCCTTTTCTCTTTCTCTCCCTTATTTCTTTTCTAATCCTCTTTCTTATTGTAAATAACGCAGCTATAATACATTCCACCAAATAATTAAAAGATCAAGAAAAATTGTTTACAAAATAAGCAAATTTTAAACAGCTGTAATTTTGTTTAATAAAATACAAATCCAAATATAAAAGAAAAGTTGTGAAGCGTGAAATCTCTACTCTCGAAAGGGGTCACAGTTGTTTTTTACTTTCTTTAATTATGGTAATTTTAACGTAAAGACGACGAGCTCAACGAAATGGGAAACTTTCTTGTCATTTTATGGGAGTCACGCTCAAAAAGACCGAAAAAATTTTTGCTTTTTCATGTTAAAGAAAGTTTTTTCTATAAAACCTTTTTTTTAGATTTAGATTTTGATTTTTTCTTATCAATTTATCAAGAATTGAAGAAAAAGTGGGCATTTAGACTTGGTTACATCCCAGAAATCGTGGTCTCCACGATTTCTTTCGAGAAAACATAACAATTGTTAATACATGTTTTTAGACGACAGTTGTCGATCGACCAGAGAGATATGATCCAGATACATTTACGTGCAAAATCGTAAAAACAAAGATTTTCCAGATAACCAACCTCAAACTGATAAACTAAGGAAGACAAGGTTATGAACTTTTGCCATATCTTTGGGAATAAGTACAAGACTGTCGTACTTCAAGGGCCCTTAAAATTTCCACGAAAACGGGAAATAAAAATTGTTTCTGTTTGTCTCAAAACGACTGACAACAGACGTCAAAGATACATCGCGTATTACAATTCGCTCAATCTCCATGGCTCCGCGATTACATTGAACTCAATACGAAATTTAGAACACTGGTCAAGAACGATTTCGAGAAAAATTTGTACAACTTGATGAACAACGCGGTATTCGGTAAAACTATGGAGAACGTTCGAAATCAAGTTGATGTAAAATTATTAACAAAATGGGACGGTAGATACGGCGCGGAGGCAACGATCGCGAAACCAAATTTTCACAGCAGAAGCGTTTTTTCGGAAAACCTGATCCAAAGGACATCCAAAGGACATCCAGGACGGACAACCGGGATATATATATATATATATATATATATCTTGGGGATATCCCAATTAAATCCCGGGATATACTTTGAATGTCCTGAGGAATAGCAAATGATCCCCGAATACACTAGTCCTCATGACATCCTAAGGATATCCTGTCAGACGTCCTGAGGACTTCTATGAGATACGTTATGGACATTATTTAGGCGTCTAAAAGGAAAGATCCTCATGACATCCCGAGAATATCCTATCGGACGTCCTGAGGACTTTTATGGGTTACGTTATGGACATTTTTTAGGCGTCTGAAGGGAAAGATTCTAAAAGTGAAATCGAGCTATTAACCCAATCAGCAATAATTGTTTCATGTTTAGAAGATTTTTTTAATATCTGAAAAATATACATCTTGATTTTTCAAAAATATACACATCTTGCGAATGTCATGATTTTGCTTTGCCGGAGACCTGCTTATATTAGCCCTCAACTGAAATCTTCTTACGAGTTAGTCTTACCATTATGCGCCGCCTAGTGGCGTCGTTCCAAACTAGCACCATGACATCCTCTGGAAATCCGAAGGACATTCAGGAAAAATGCCTTACCATGCATCTTTCTTAATTAAGAATATTTCATAATGTTTCAAAAATATTTGAAAAAAGATTATAGAACCAATAATAAATTTAAAATATTTTTAAATATTTTGGAACGATATTATAAAACAATAAATATGTAAATTTAAATTAATATTTAAAAAATATATTTCAAATATTTAAGAAAATATTGTCTGAGTGAGTGATAAAGAAGAACATAATATATAATTATATATATCACCCTTTTTTTGCAAACAGTTCAAAAATGACAATTTTGCTTCCTCATAGAGGAAGCTTTGTTTTAATTATGTCATTGTTGTAGGGTGAAAATTCAATACACTGAATAAAGAGCTAATATATGTATAGCTCTAGATATTTTTGTTCCTCTACAATCAGTTATTGCTATTTTCACTCATTCCAAATACGTAGAAGATATCCTAAAATCATCCAAAATGTGTCCAGGATGTTCTGAGGAGTTTTATAGGATATCCTGCGATACTCCTCAAGATATCCTGGACATGCGTAAGATGATTTTAAGATTTTTTATGGATTTTAGGATTATTTAAGTCTAGTGGACATTTGTGAAAAATTTATAATTTATTACGGTACTTAACATTCTGAAATTACTTTAAGTATTTTACAATTAATGAAATGTGTTCGGGCGCGCAATAAACGCGCCGAACGAATTGCCGAATCCGTTCCGCGAGAACGCGAGATATCACGAACGGCTCCGCTCAGCCTTTCAACTAAGAGACGACCGGGGGATTCAGCTGAACGCGGACTCGATCGCCGGTCAGGAAGTTGAGTGGAAGGCCCAAAGACAGCAATTGACTTATAATATATACAAACTTTATTCGATATAATAACAAACTGACGAAACGCGAGATGTACAGACAAATTAGTGCGAATGCACTCGGCGCGCTGTGACTTGTAGGTTTGAAGCGCGGTTTTACATAAAGTGCGGTTTTACCGAAACGCGGTTGATTACACGTTTTGACTGACGCGATAGTTTATGGCGGTGCACATGCACTCGGTACAGGACGCGGAACGCGGCTTTCTCCTACTCTATACTCCTCGGCACGGTCCGTTGTATTGCATTTGCACGCGGGCGGAGACGCGATCGGTATAGTGGGGAAGTGCGGACGCCCGGGGCGATGGCTACGAGAACTCTCGTTACGAGGCTGAGTACGCTCGACCTCGCTGGATCATGGCCGTCGGGAGTAAGTTGGATGGAGTTCGGGAACACTCTGAGAACTCTCAGTAGAGGCTCGGAACACCGGACCTCGTTTTGCGTGTTCCCTGGGATATTGGATGGGTTCGGCTTCGTCGAAGGCAGCGGAAAGCTGAAGAGAAGACGAAGTGCCGACTCCTGTCGGAGCGCCGGCTTATATACCTCGGCGCGGCAGGTTCGTTGGAAAGGAGGCCGGCTCTCGGGCGGGCCGCGTGGGGGTGCTGACGCGCGCTCGCTTTTCGGCGGCTCGGATCGGCTCCTTCCGGCGTTTCCGAACTTATAGCTAATTTTGCGCGAGAAGCAAAGGAAGCGTAGATCGCAGTATATGTAACGGTTAGATGCAAGTTTTTACAACAATAAATTGCGGGGATCCCGAACAAAATGAAATAAAATATTTATACATATAAAATATTTACGACAATATATGTCCTGGATGTCCTTCGGATTTTCCGAGGATGTTATTGGCTATCTGGAAAGCAACTAAATGTCCTGAAAATATCCCAGGATATCCTGGACCACGGTCTTACACACAGGTCTGGAAACTCAGACCGATTTTGGTGGTGGGGGATGGTCGTTTTGGTTCTAGGAAAAAATCTCCCCGGAAAAATCCTCCCCGGAAATAAGTTCCCGGGAAAATCTCCCCGGAAAAAATCTCCCCCGGAAAAAATCTTCCCCGGAAGAAATCTCCCCCGGAAAAAATCTCCCCCGGAAAAAATCTCCCCCGGAAGAAATCTCCCCCGGAAAAAATCTCCCCCGGAAAAAATCTCCCCATCCAAAATTTCAGTACTACTGTATTTCACACAACTGAGCACACAACTCACACTCCTAACGCTGCAGCAGTTGAGACAAAGCGCGTTGTTGCAAAATTACG